CCTATGATGAAAATTACAGACCTCTCTCATCTTTTTAAGTGGGAGAACTTGCACAATTGGTGGCTGACTAAATACTTTTTTGCCCCACTGTATATATATATATATATATATATATAAAATTTTAGTTAATTTCATGGCCAGAATTTACCCTAAACAAGGGAACAAAATCTATTTTAGCCACTGTATCTTGTTTCTTCCACCCTCCGTGTCATGTACGGGTCTCCCTGGGAAAGTGAAGCTAGTTCTGAAGGTCTGTCACATCTGCAGAAAGCACTTGGTTTGATAGTTTATATAATGCAAAGAAATTCATACATTTTAAATATCCCAACACTTTTTGAGGCTTTAACTGGAACACGAATCAATCAATTCTCAATGCTGGCTTGCTCTGACTGGCAAATAAAGTAAAAAATAAATACATAAAGTGTTAAATAAAGATTCCACATTGTCAGTTATTTTTACCTTTTTAAATGATCCTCCATTTTGTCTTGCTATGGAAGGCTATGAATCAAACTACTTCAGAGGATCCAAAACTCCAGCCTTCATTATCTGAGAGCAAGACAGGTTCAAAGAACAGACTGGTGATAAGACAACATGCTTGAGCTGAAATGAAGTCGAATAATAAAACAACCATTCACTGTATGGAGTGCACAAATCTGCGTTTAAACAAACGATGCTGAATCCATGACAAATAATGACGCAGCAACCAAATTAAACCCACTGACACAGTAGCACAAACATTTGTATCTGTTGATTAAGTGTTGTAAAAATACATTCATAAAATATTGTTTTACTATTTACAGTCTGTTGTTTTTTAACAGTGAAATAAACCAATTTCATAAGCACAAGTACTTTTTAATATTTCCCCCCCCCCCTTGTAAAAACTTTACTTAGAGGAACTTTCTTCAGTGGGCTTTAATGCTTTCAGAAAGGAAAAAGAGGTCTGACCACTGATCTATATGGAGAGACTCTCTATTATAGCTCAGTGGGTCTGACCTTCTTATGACACAAGAGTGAATCCTAAAACTCTCAATCTCATTCCTCGACTCAGTAAAACCAGAGGGACTATAAAGAACGCTGAACTGATTATAAAACTGATATATTCTGCTCCAGCCAACCAGTACACTGGGAAAAAATTAAAATAATGTTATGATTTGCTGTAAATTGCAACAAACAAAGGTACAGATAAATGATTTTCTTGCAATCGTAAGTTACTGTTAGTGTTGTTTACATAATTCATTAATCATGTTAAGATACATACATACATATGTATAATATTTTATCTACATTTATATAACTTTGCCCCCCTCCCTTTTTTTACCTGAAGAAGCCACAATAGGGCCCAGTGCTCGAGCTAAAGCTCCAAGACTCCGAAGGATTCCCATGACAGTTCCCTTCTGACTGGCTGAGCCTAACAAACCAGCATAGACATCAATACTACAAATACATTCAAACTTAAAAGTGGTGTGAGAGAGACAGTTCACTGAAAAATACAAATTCTGTCATCATTTGTAATCTTTGCAGCATAGTAACCAAAACTAGTCATAACGCCATCTTTTGTGAACCATTGGTCTAAAATCTACAAAATGGTTAGCTTATGAAAATAAATCTTAGACAAAACTAGAGACACAAGAGTGAATCCTAAAACTCTCAATCTCATTCCTCGACTCAGTAAAACCAGAGGGACTATAAAGAACACTGAACTGATTATAAAACTGATATATTCTGCTCCAGCCAACCAGTACACTGGGAAAAAAGTAAAATAATGTTATGATTTGCTGTAAATTGCAACAAACAAAGGTACAGATAAATAATTTTCTTGCAATCGTAAGTTACTGTTAGTGTTGTTTACACAATTAATTCATTAATCATGTTAAGATACATACATACATATGTATAATATTTTATCTACATTTATATAACTTTGCCCCCCTCCCTTTTTTTACCTGAAGAAGCCACAATAGGGCCCAGTGCTCGAGCTAAAGCTCCAAGACTCCGAAGGATTCCCATGACAGTTCCCTTCTGACTGGCTGAGCCTAACAAACCAGCATAGACATCAATACTACAAATACATTCAAACTTAAAGTGGTGTGAGAGAGACAGTTCACTGAAAAATACAAATTCTGTCATCATTTGTAATCTTTGCAGCATAGTAACCAAAACTAGTCATAACGCCATCTTTTGTGAACCATTGGTCTAAAATCTACAAAATGGTTAGCTTATGAAAATAAATCTTAGACAAAACTAGAAAAAAAAAATCCCACCGTGTCCAGACACTTGTGTTGAAAGGCATGGAACAACAATAGCAGCAGCTGAAAAAAAATAAAAAATTACTACAAATTAAAATATCAATACACAAAAATACAAGTAAATATTTATTTGGATGATAATAATAATAATGACAGATGCACACTTGCTTACCAATAGAGTACAAAAATAAGCCAGAATAGAGTAGTGTCAAATTCCATGCTATTCCAATGAGCAAGAACGCTGGGATAAGTGATATAATTGCCTGAAATACACACATATGAAAACAAAAATGTAACAGGCCTTTGAGTAGTTAAACATTAAATCCTTTCAGCGTTCCAAGAAAATTGCCAGAACATTTTAATTGACTCGTGATCCAGTAATGCATGAAAGAGTTTACCACGCTAAGAGTCTGGATCTGATGGCCCGGTTTGATCCTGCGGGCATATCCGCCCTGGATCACTGCCATGGTAATGCCCATGAAAAAGAACATCTTCCCCTGCTGCATGCTACGACAGAAGAAGACAAGGGTTTCATTTGAAAAACTTCAGGCAAGACCACAGGATTCAGCTGCTCTATGATACACACACAATGATACCAGTATGTCACGTTTCGGATTAAGCAAAACACATCTGTACATGAGTGAATTGGTCAATCGAAATCGTATATTATCCCAGGGGTTAGCTACACTTGCCTTCAACTTTGTCCTCTTTCCCCCATTCTGGTTGTTTATGCTACATAATAAATTCTCCCAAACTTCCTTGTTCCTAATGCCTACATACAAATAAACCCAGTCAGCTTCATTAAATGAGAAAGAACAGCTCTGAGCTTGGAGGCTTTCCACAGACTTATCTCTTGAACAAAGCATATAGAATTATAAAGTTCATTCAGTATGTAATTGCTTAAGTCACTGCTGACGTTTGTACAGGAAATGCTCTGTATATCCTTTCTTTTAAGTAACATCAATTAGACAGTCATAAGTAGGGGAACATGTCATGACTGGAATATCGTAAATCATGCACTGTCACATAATTGCATGCATGACTAATCTAGGTCAAATACAGCAGCATTTCTTGTTGAACAAACAGCCAGCCAAACATCTTTTGAGATTTCATAACAACTAAATATGCAAATTATAGGCCTAACCTTAAAAAAATGATCTTACCCCAGTTTGACTGTAGTGGTCCAAGATGGAGGGGAGCAGGGGAAGTATTAATGTGAAACCCAGCAAGTCAAGCAGCAGTGCCAAGAAAACCACCCTGATGACTCTGGAGGAGCGCACATCCTCAGATGTAGTTGTGCCACCTGCCATTTCTCCACTCCAGTGACCCAAAGTTGTTCTTTACTGCTGAGGACTCTTAACACATCTCCTGTGGTTACTGAACTGAATCACTGAACAAAAAACAAAACAGCAAAGTGAGCAACAATATGTAGTCCTTAAAACTCCAGTACCAAAAGTGCACTGGTATGGTAGTTTTTTTGGACATGGTACCATACTGTGTATTTGCACCATGGTATTCTTTACAGAATGTAAATATCATGATACATTTAGAAAATGTAGAAATCATTCAGTATTATGATTACCACCATTTTACATCCTTGGAGCAAGTTTCTGGCCTCATCAGTCCAGAAGGCAAACCGCTGACCATGCCTTTCAAACTAAAATCTGATTAATCTAAAGTACTGCCAAAAGGACAAGCTAATAACACATATTGTGGTGCAGCCAAGCAATGAGCCCAGTTTAATTATGAAAGATGATTTATACTTAACTAATATGCTAAAACAATGAGTATCAAACAAGTTTTCACACTAATACAGTAAACTACAGGTAAATCTGACACATCTCACATCAACATGCTTTTATCATCTTTTTTTTAGTTTAACTAATGTGCTGGCTAGATTTACTTATTGTAGACATTATGTCAACAAGGTTTAGCTGAATTAAATCATGGCCACGAATTAAGAACATCGTAATAATCAATAAAACTAGTAATCGGGAATTAATTATTATTTCTTAGCAGTTCTCACGTTGGCTACTTAAACTTGGCATCGTTTTAAGGTTATAAATAAAACAAATTAAAAAAATAAATAAATTGAAAACCGGTAAAGTTACTCACTCTGATTGCTGTCCGTGTCGTCCATCTTTAGTGATCCGATTCGGTAGGTGGCGCTGTTACAAAAGCATAGGGTCCTTGAACTGCGGTCCTAGAACTGCGGTCCTGAAACTGCTGTCCTGAAACTGCAGCCTCCGGTTGTGCAGGAACATACTATTGGGGGATCATGAACACACACCAGGAAGCGCGAGCGCGGTGTCTTGTTTCAGTTACTACAAGCGTGATGTGGAGTGCGATGATTTCTGTCCTGTCCCTTTAATGAATCTATAACACTTCTATGCCTGTTAAGATATTTACAAATTAGATCTTACCAAATATATATATATATACACCCATATACATTCATTCATGTGGACTACATTATGACGGTATAAGAAACAACTGGGTGTAGTATATTAAATATTATGTAAATAGTTCACAGAACATGCAAATAACACAAATCAAAAAATCAAACCTGTACTCTCAGACAAATGTGTATATTTATTTGTTCTTTTTAATTTCCAACATCACTGGTAACTTGTAATGGTTTCCAATGACCACGCGAGGGAGGTAATTGGTACTGTTTAACAGATTGGCTCGCGAGATTTTAAAAGAGTCAGTCAAAATACACAATTCTATTTAGTTTTAATTTGGAATCTTAAACATCTGGATGGAGAGAAGGAGCAGGGACCGTCTGTGAAATAAACAGAGTTACATTTATGAGAAAGAGTTGTCATTTTATTTAAACCCATACTATTGGTGAATAAACTATTATACAACAAAGCCCATCCAATGTTAAAAACAGAGGAATTCACCACATACACATTATTTTTGTCTCTTATTTAAAATATGTAGGTCATTTTGTTATTTTCAGTGTCATTTTGGTTAATTTATGACCATGCTATATAACATATTAATGTATTTATATTTGTTATAATGTTATAACTTGTTACAATGCTTGCTTTGAAAAGACAACCATAATCATTATGAACGGTGTCATCTGTACATTACATTTTAATTGAAACTTAATACATTTGAATGAAAACAGCATTGATGTAGTAACTTTAATTAAAGCATATTTTCGAATACTGTGTTTTATAGCATCTGTTGACTGGTATTTCTGTACATGTAATTTTACACTGGAGTTTACAAATACTGAATATCATGAAAGAAAGCATAGGTACAGTAGAATAAATCAAAAGGCGGAACCATTCGGAAAACAAATGTTTCAGGGGAGCACGACGTCGGCGCACACAACGCAAAGGACTTCAAAATTGCTGTCACAGAGCGCTGTAAGTTCAATATGTCAAATAGACATGAATGATTTACAAACGATTCAAAGAAGAAAGATTGACAATGCTGATCTATCTTCCCATCGTATTTAACATATTAGCAACGCTTGTTATTGCTTGTAACACCATTGATTAGTATTGTGTAATTCTATTATATATTATGCTATTTACTCAATATGGTATTCACCATTGGGCAATACTGGTGGTTTCCATTGGATTGTACCAAGTTACCTTAAATAACCCAATATACTCTGGGTCATTTCTAGAAGTTTCCAGCAGTAGGCAGGAACAAGTAGCCAAATTTGACATTTGAAATGGTTGATCTAACCACATTCCACCATTAATAAAAATGGCCAAAGTGGCTGATCTAGCAAATTCCACTGATAAGCATATCTGAGCACATGAGCACTAGTGCGTTTTAATACCCATAATGTCCTTGACCTGGGACAGTCAGTGCTCAAGATTTAGTCATTGTGGCAACCCAGATAGGCATAACCAATAACAAAAACTGGAACAACCAACTTTGGTGAGAGAAAAAGGTATAAAACAAATGAGCTGACAGTCGAAGACTTCAGATGCGGTTACCGTTATCTAGGCTTTGTTGCTGTGACAAAGTCTTATTTTGACATCTGGAACTCTGCTTCTCGAACTTCATTGACTACACCAAAGAAAAATACACAACATTAGTCGATAAGGGGCATTTCAATGGTCATAGCCAAGTTTAAGTGTAACACAAGCAGCATAATATTGAATATCTTAAAGTTGTATCAAGTTTGACTACTCTTACAGAATACTGGCACACAGTATTACAAGAAAAAAGCCTTATTCACTCAACTTGACATTTTCATGACTCGTCAGTAATCTGTATTGAATACTGTGCATTGTGTTCTCTGCTGTTTGTTCATTGTTCCTGAAGAGCTCCCTCATCTGCACATGAATGCAAGTATACAATGAAGCGCCTCGCTACTTTGCAGTCGTGACATCTCTCGCTAAAAGTTGGTCATGACAGCTCAACAGACAAGATGATGTCCACCAGACTACTGGCACTGTTTCAACCACATGCAGTGAGGAGGAGTCTTCCACAGATCTGCTCTGCCCGTCTTTCAAGTCTCAGAAGGCAGCATGAAAACATCACCACAGCCTTCTGTCAGCCTGGATCCTGCTTTTTTAACAAAAGTGACGATCACAAACAGAGAATATGGCCTCCTTTACTGGCAGGTCACAGCTGTGGCACAAGGTTCTTCAGCCTCACTCCTGCTGGGATTGTGAACGCAGCCCCGGCGTCCGTTCAGCCGTACCTCAGATTAATGAGACTGGACAAACCCATAGGTGAGCTGAGCTCATTTTCCAGGGTGTCCTTTTGGTTGTAAGCTGTTTTTTCAGTGAAATATAAATGGTTGTGTTCTTGTAGGAACATGGCTGCTGTATCTGCCTTGTATGTGGAGTATTGGGTTGGCAGCAGACCCGGGATGCCTTCCTGATCTGCGCATGCTTGCGCTCTTCGGGGTGGGAGCTTTGCTTATGAGAGGCGCAGGATGCACAATCAATGACATGTGGGATAAAGACTTCGACAAGAAGGTAAGAGTACATACATAGAAGTAGATTGATTGTTTCCTGCATCATGTTCTTCCTTTAGTCCCAGAAAGTCAACTTTTTGCTTCATTGTCTGAGAACATTCAAAGTGATGGATATCTATTCCACTAGTGCAGGGGTGGCGAACGTCAGTCCTGGAGAGACGCAGCCATGCAGAGTTTTGCTTCAACCCTAATCAAACACACCTGAACAAGCTAATCAAGGTCTGAAGGGTTGCTAGAAAGCTACAGGCAGGTGAGTTTTAATTAGGGTTGGAGCTGAACTCTGCAGGGCTGCGGCTCTCCAGGACCGGAGTTCGCCACCGCTGCACTAGTGGTCTAAATTTCATCTTTGCCATCTTCTCATCCGGACTAAGCCTAACATATCTCCTAATCTTACCTGGGTCAGTGTGTCAAAGGAATTGGGCGATTTTGCTGTAACATTGGCCATAATCAATGTCAGATAATAATAATAATTTACTCACCCTCATGTCATTTCAAACCTGTATAACTTTATTTCTGTAAAACAAAAGGAGATATTTTAAATGTTGATGGTAATACATGTTTGGAACAA